CTTTCTTTCTTTCTTTCTTTCTTTCTTTCTTTCTTTCTTTCTTTCTTCTTTCTTTCTTTCTATTCTTTTCTTTTCTTTCTTTCTTTGTTCCGTTGCTCTCCTTGTAGAGCTACTGTCCCCTCCAGGTCTTTCTATCTCCCTTTTCTTTCATAAAATTCCATGCATTCTGTCCAAAGTTTGGCTATAAGTCTCAGAAAGGCACACATGGTATATACACACTCATAAGTGGTTATCAGACATATAATATAGGATAAACATACTAAAATCTATACTCCAAAAGAAGCTAAACAACATGGAAGACCCTAGGGAAGATGCTGAATTTTCATTCAGAAGTGAAAATGCAATGGATATCAGAAGCAGAAGACAGGGAACAGGACAAGAGCCTACCACAGATGGCCTCTGAAAGACTCTACTGATCGAGGTATCAAAGCTATAAGAACTATTATCACCCCAATGGAGATCAGTAGAAGCCCAGAATAGGCTCAAGAGTTGGTTCCTTAGACACAAATTTTCATTTTGTAGTCAGGATGTGCTGGTCCCTCTCTCACCCCACCCTCATCCTCAGCTGTAGACCCAGAATGTGGCACATGGTCCCTGCTCCAAATTGTTAAGTGTGCTAGCACATTGGCAGCCTGAGATGTGCCCTTTCCTGAGTGCTCTTTCAGAGGAACTGCTTGAGGTAGCAGGCTGAACTCTAAGCCAAACCAGTGGAGTGCCAGATACTCTGCGTTTGTCCAGAGAACTTCCCACAATCCTCTACTGGTCCAAGGGGCCAGGAGATGTCTACTGCCAATGAATAATACATATACTCTGATGAAGACTGCCTTCTTTACCTAGCACCAACAAGCTTTCCATATTTCTTCTAGTAAACTGGGCCTTAAGTTATAAAAATAACAGAAACAGTAGACAATGAGCAAAATGCTTACGTATTTGAAATTATGTTTACACAAAACATCTAGTTCAGCCCTCCCCGGAATATAATGAGAGCTTTCTGCTGTTTTCACCTTTTGATTTTTTTTTCTTTCAGGTGAGAAAATGGGTATTCAGAGAAGTGAAATAGTGTTCATGCATACTAAAATGAAAATGAAGATGATGTGGGATTTTCAAACAGGCCCTCTGCTTGGGCTCATCCATTGCCACTCACTGGTTCCTTTCTGAGAATGTTTGTTTTCCCAGTTAGACAATTGGCCCTTTGAAAGTGATTTTTGTGGGTTTTGTAACTTCAAGCAGGATCTTTGGAGCCAGAGAGGCTCTAAGTGACAATCCAAACTCCATCTGTTGTTCAGCGCAATGTCTTTATACTGTAGGAGCCCCGTTTTCTCATCTGTAGCTTGGGGGTGTCAACAAGTCTTAACCTGGTAGGTTGTA